TGTATTTCAAAAATCATAATGCTCGAGAGGTGCAACCTATTCGAGCATACACGAGCGATACCAATCATCACCTGCAAGTCACCAGTTGTTGAAAGACTTTTATTGATTTACAACCACCGGTAGTTTAAAATTCACAGTTATCAGTTGTTATACGATTTGTTTATTTACAGCCATGTCTTTTACAGTTATTAGTTGTTATAAGATTTGTTTTTTTTACTGCGATGTCTTGAGTGCGAGATAGTCCAGCTGTGCCGCATCCTTGTTGTTTGTAGTCGACCACCGCACACGTGCTTCCCCGTCACTCACATACGGCCCATTTGCTACATCCACGGTATTGGACGACCACTGCCATGAAGTGACGTCTACAGGCGCAATCAAAGGAGGAGTGTTAATTGTGAGTCAGGCCAGTATATATATATATATATATATAAATATATACATATTTATTAGAAAAACCCTATGCACTGTGCACTCGAAGGGTTGTGATGTGCTCACAGTAGATCAGTGATGTATGCTTTAGGGTTCAAGGGTTTAGATTAAACCCTAAACCCTGAAACATATATGCTTGTGCCGTAGCCTGGGGAACAACCACTGCCATGCTACGTACTTCGATGTGAGTCCACAGTTAGCCCCACAGATAGACAGTGCTACTACCGCATGCAATAGGAGACCGAAACGATAGGGTATAGGGTTTGAGTTCAGTGATATGTACTAGAGAGTTACGATAGAGTATAGGGTTTGAGTTCAGTGATATGTACTAGAGATTTACGAAAGGGTATAGTGCGGGGAGCTACAGGTACGCCACTGCACTCGCGCCAAGCCATTTTATAATACACCCGAACACAAGCCAAAATAATCAATAGAAAACGAAGGTGTGGAGGGTTTAGGGTTAAGGGTTTAGCACAGACAGCATAGTGCAGAATCAGGCAGCGCTGAAGGCACCACACAACACATACGATACACAATGCATACGAACACTCGCTCAATGACACACACACACATATATATATATATATATATATATATACACTTACTCACTCACTCACCCACCCACCCACACTCACTCACCATCGTTCTTCCAGACGTTCACCCAGTCGCCCGTGTCCACATTCAACATATCTAAAGTCCATGGTTGTGCTTTGTACTTGAGCCCTCTATAGTTACACTGCAACTGCCTTACAGCCGATCCTGTGCACGCGTGGCCCAAAGTTCGGTAGCAAATAATGATTGAATCGGCAGAGAACGGTGTAGTTCGTGTGTGCGTGTTGTGCATGGGAAACAGTAACCAACAATGATAGTTGTGGCACGCGTACAAACGTGTTCAACCGTTTTGTATGGCCTATGTCGTGTAGATGAATACGTTAAGCCCAATACGTAGCCGATATATACATGTGGTACTGGGCGGAACCGGGTGAAAGCTTGAACTCAGGTGACGTCAGGAAACGCAAAGACTGTGGTGCGCAAACAAACAGTAAAGGACAACGGATTAAGACGATCGTCTCCGCGTTCAATGGAATGACATATGAATATTCAATTGAACGACACCATCATACACACACGACTATACGTGGACCAA